TAACAAATTAACAAAATAGCAAATTAACAAATTAACAAATTAATAAATTAACAAAATAATAAATTTTCTATAAACTCTAATTTTATGTTTGTTTTATTATGTTGTCTTATTAATTCTGAAGTGTTTGGTCAAAAATAAAGTATTATAAAAGATTATAAAGCACATAAGAATATGTACTAGACTATCTTAAGTAAAATCATTCATAAAAAATTGATTATACAATTACTTTCCAGGAGGTTACTGGACAGTGGCCCTTCGGATACTATTGGTGTCAGGTACAGCCATAGGGAAGTTGCTTTAAAGGGACAATGAGCTACTTGCTCGATTTACAACGGTACCCTATAAACTATATGTTTTGATCAAAAAAGTGGAAAATGCAGTTATTTGCAGTTTTTATTTCAAACAATTTCTTTATACTGTGCACTGTGTACATGTAATCTTTACAAATGTACAGTGTACTATATAGATACTTACTAGGCTCTTCATGTTCTACAGTGTACTGCGGAATGTGGACATACATGTTTCAGTGTAAAATTTAGATTAACTCTGACATTGATGAACTTTGTACTATTTAGATACATTCTGCTCTTGATGTACTGCAGTGTACATACAATGTGGACTTTTTAGATACACTCTGTCATTGATGTACTGTGTACGTACAATAAACTTTTTAGATACACTCTGTCATTGATGTACTGTGTACGTACAATAAACTTTTTAGATACACTCTGTCATTGATGTACTGTATACATACAATTTGTACTAGTTAGATACACTCTGCCCTTGATGTATTGTGACATACAATGTTCTATTCAGATACACTTTGCCCTTGATGTACTGTGTACTTAATACTGTGCATAATGTTCGTATAATGTACTATTTTAGATAAACTCTGCCCTTGGTGTACTGTGAACATGCAATGCACTATTCAGATACACTCCGCCCTGAATGCACTGTGTACTGTATACTGTGTACAATGTACATGCAATGCACTATATTTAGATACACTCAGCCCTTGATGTACTGTGTATTGTATGCTGTATACTCTGCACTGTGTACATAGAATGTCCTATTTTGATACACTCAGCCCTTGCTGTACTGTGTACTGTGTACTGTGTACATACAATGTCATATTTATATACACTCTGTCCTTGATCTACTGTGTACTGTACACTGAGTACTGTGTACTGTAAACATACAATTGGTCCTATTTAGATACACTCTGTCCTTGATGTACTGTGTACTGTATACTGAGTACTGTGTACTGTAAACATACAATGTCCTATTCAGATACACTCAGCCCTTGATGTACTGTGTACTGTGTAATACAATGTCCTATTCAGATACACTCAGCCCTTGATGTACTGTGTACTGTATACATACAATGTCCTATTCAGATACACTCAGCCCTTGATGTACTGTGTACTCTCTATTGTGTACTGTGTACATACAATGTCCTATTTAGATACACTCTGCTCTTGATGTACTGTGTACATTTAATGTCCTATTTAGATACACTCTGCCCTTGATGTACTACTGTGTACTTCTTCAATTCTTCATCTCTGCCTAATAGCATTGGACAGATATTGGTAAATCAAAAATTCTAACAAAAAGGAACTCACATTTCTATATCTTTGCAACCGTATGTATGTTTTTAAACTTTAAATCATGTCAGATGAAATAGATTAAGTTTTAAATAACTTTTGCGCGTTGTGCTAATTTCTTTTAGATATCTCGTGGGTTAACTATTTCCTATTTTTAAGATGAAGCTTTATAAGTTGGCTCAGAGATCACAAATTCTTTTTATCATAATCTAATCTAAAAACAAAAATGTTATACGTCAAAATGATAAAAAATTACAAAATACGTTGTTAACATTTTCAATGAAAAGAGAGAACGAAGAGGATATTAATTCCATAAATTTTACAATATTATATATATGTATTTACTAATCAAGCCTGTAGCTGAATATTAGTTTTAACTTGAAACTTCATTTTAAACTTTGCCTGAATCAAACTTTCTGGTTAGTAATAGAAACTCTAAATCTGAAATAGAAAACTGGATTGAAGAGGAAACTTGAAGTACAGCATTATCTCTGTGTTATTGCTTAAATTTCCTCTTGTGGAAAATTAAAATTTTTGAGTGAAATACCAATAGCCGGTCTGTCCCTTTAAATGACACTCAATAAATTAATAAATTTCAGAGTGAAATACAAATTCATCCTTTTTGCGTTTTGTTTGATTACATATTTTTCAAGTAATCCGTAGGTACTGAGATCAAAGCTTGGTCCCGAATTTGATTTCTCTGCATCCATTAGATTAAAACTATATTTGGACAGCTGCGATAAATCAAAATGAGAATACATAATACTTTGATTGTTTGTCTAGTTGTATTTTAAGTGGGACTTAAGAGACGGCTTATGGAATCAGAATGAAAAAAATTTTCCCTGAAACAATTTTCAGCTTTGAAAATCTACGACATTTTTGTAGTTATTGTTCCCCAAATAGAGCAACAATAACAAGTTAAAATCAAAGATGGACACGAAGCGCCCCGGAAGCTCAGTTGATGAAAAATTAAAATTGTGAAGTTGGTCTTCTGGTAAATCTAGTTTTCTATCCAGCCACTTAATTGATCATCCTCAATTCAACGCCTGGAGGAGTCAGACTTATTTCTTTTCTTTTGTTAACCCTTGGACAAAAGTCTGGTAGGTGGGAAGGTACCTAAATGCATAACTAGCACAACTAAAGATACTATTATTATTGTATATTTTATTCCAATTGATAAAAACATTGCCGAATATAAAGTGTATGTGAACCCCGCTAGATGGTATGCGGGACTGAAGTATATTCTCCAACTCCTTCTTTAAGTACAATTCAGATAATCTTCCTGGTTTAAACTCGGTTCCTGCTTCATCTACGCATTATTGAACTTGGTTCATACAATACACAAGTTTTTTTTTTGGATTTTCTAAATAAATTTTACGAAAATCAAAAGTTTCAAGCACAAATTTTTGTAATTCTGAACATACATAAACCTTCACTGGGCCACGTGAGGTACCAAAATAAATTTAGGTCGGATTGGTTTAGTCATTTATTGACAAACAAACACGTACCTAGACAAGTAAAATATATTATATGCATATATAATTTTATAAAGAAGGTTTTTGGACAAAAATGGTGAAAGTTCTAACATTTAAAACTGTAATCTTATAAAAGTTTGCTTTCACCATGCAACATTATATTCCTCAGAGAAATAACATTTAAGAAAACACAAGCCCGAAACAATCGTTGTAAACTGTTTTGTTGGCGCCATATATAAATAGTAATTGAAAGAAGTTCATTTCAAATTTTCCCCTTAAAATATCAATAAATATCATCTCATTATTTAAATAGTTTTTTTGGTTTCACAAATCAACGCAAACAGAAATTAGTTCAGCCCAGCATGAAAAAAAATTAACTTATAAGCTTTATCCCTTCCCTCCCTTCAATATTTCTTGAGAATTCTGAAAGTTTTAATTCTTATTTTATAACTCTAATTAAATTGAAATTAAAATTCTTTTATCTAACGAATCTTCCATTAAATCCTACTTTTCCCATGAGTTAGGCCGGATTCATTCCATAATTAAAACTGATTGAAATAAAGCTCTGTTTATCTTTTATTATTTTGAAAGAACTTTCACTTTTTTAATTCATTTTGAATGTATGGAATATATACAGAATTATATCATAGATTAATAAGCAATAACAGACTAGGTGTCATGTTTTCAAGATTTTTTGTTAAAAATTACCTTTAGACAGAAGCCCAAAGGAGTTACGCGTATGCTCTCTCTTTGTCTTGTCATTCAACGCAACATACGCGTAACTCCTTTGGGCTGCTGCCACGAAAAACCCCCTAAATCTTGAAAAGACGACATCTAGTGTTTTATCTGTTATTGTTAATCGATCTATGAATTTTTTGAATCTATCAAAATAGTTTTTTTAAATTAATACTGTTCCTTACTTCGACTAATTTTTTTTCAGGTCGATAACTAAGGCCATAGAATACGTCAACTGGAGGTAAATATAAACATATTAAAACAAAAATACAGCGTGAACCATTAAACTGTAGAATATGAAGACGACATTTATGCGGTCTTAAGTGATATTAGATGAAGCTAATACATTTCAGCTTTCAAATCAAATTATTAGGTAAAATGGGTCTGTTTACACTGCACAATTGTTGTGTTTAATGTTTTTTGGACTGTTTAAAACATGACAGTCGTATTTCTCTTCCACAGTTTTATAGGGCACACTGTAGGATTTATTTTCTAAATTTGTTTGGATTTGACAGACAACACAAAGTTGTTCCTGCAAAGTTTTTTCTGTTGTAGATATTTTTAACAACGAAATTGCTTGTGGTTTAAAGGGACTTTTTCAACCTTGTGGTTTAATGGGACTGCTTTAATCTTGTGGTTTAAAGGGTCTGTTTTAAGCTTGTGGTTTAAAGGAACTGTTTTAAGCTTGTGTTTTAAAGAAACAGTTTTGAATTGTGGATTAAAGGGACTGTTTTAAGCTTGTGGTTTAAAGAGACTGTTTTAATCTTGTGGTTTAAAGGAACTGTTTTAAGCTTGTGGTTTAAAGGGACTGTTTTAAGCTTGTGGTTTAAAGGGACTGTTTTAAGCTTGTGGTTTAAAGGGACTGTTTTAAGCTTATG